TGTTTTGTCCAAGGGAGCCCTCGGATTTTTCCGGTAACAATGGGGTGACCCTTCCTCTGAAGGAGCGTGTTCATAGCTTGGGGTCCTCCTGGATCCTTTCCTGTCGCTCCAGGCTCAGGTGGCCTCCGTGGCCCAGAGTGCCTTCCATCAGCTTCGGCTGGTGGCCCAACTACGCCCCTGTCTGGACAGGGATCACCCAACTACTGCTGTCTATGTTCTGGCAACCTCAAGGTTAGATTACTGCAATGCGTTCTACGTAGGGCCTCTGAAGACGGTTCAGAAACTTCAGCTGGTGCAGAATTCAGCGGCCAGGTTGCTCACCGGAGCAAGATGTTTTGAACATGTTGCAGCAATCCTGGTCCGACAGCACTGGGTGCCCATTCAGTGTGCTGATTTGACCTATGAAGCCTTAAACAGCTCAGGACCGCAATTCCTCAAGGACCACCTCTCTCCGTATGAACCTCCCCGGACCCTGAGATCATCTTCTGAGGCCCCTCTTCGTGTCCCTTCCCCTTGAGAGGTCCGGAGGGTGGCAGCACAGGAATGGGGCCTTCTCTGCAGTGGCTCCCCATGTGAAGAATGCTCTCCCCAGGGAGGTTCCCCCAAGCGCCTTCGTTATACACCTTTAGGCACTGGGCAAAAATGTTCCTTTTTAACCAGGCCTTTGGTTGATTTGATTGACATCCTATGGCCTTTTAAAATGTGTTTGGGGGAGGGTTTATCAGATGGTGGTTGTTTTTATTTTGATTATTCTGTGGTTTTATATTCTGGTTTTATTTTGTGAATTGCCCTGAAAGCCTGCAGGCATAGGGCGGTATGTAAATTTAATAAAGAAGTAAAATGTCTCCTCCCAGGCTTGTTTCCCCCTCTGGATAAACAGCTCCTGCTGAAGTTGCAGGGGGGCAGCGAGAGCGGCAGTAGCAGACCCAGCACCCCCCTCTTGCGCCCCAGAGGCGCTTGCTCTAAAGGGGAAGGGGAGGCCAAGGCAGCCCCCCTTTTCCTGCTCACACCAACACGTGGACCTTCCCTTCCTCTCATCTCGCTTTGGGCTGAGGGAGCCCATGTTGGTCTGCAGACAGCTTTCCGGGTCATATGGGCAGCAGGACTGAACTGCTTCTGGTGCAACGGGACACTGTGAGAAGTGCCAGAGCGCACAGAAACACCACAGTGGTACCTATTTTTCTACTTGCGCTGGTGTGCTTTTGAACTGCTAGGTTGGCAGGAGCTGGGACAGAGCAAGGGGAGCTCAGTCTTGGGGACTGGAACCACAGACCTTCCGCTGGGCAGCCCAAGTCTCAGTGGCTTATAGACCACAGAACCCCCTGCCTGGGTGCCACTGTGGGCGCAGGATCCATAGCTGTCAACCTTCCCTTTTTTGGGGGGAAATTCCCTTATTCCAGCGCCATTTCCTGCTGCTATCCCGGATTGTTAGATCTCCCATAGACTGTCCCTGGGACAGGGGAGGCTGCTGATCCCTCATTTTCAAATCTGAAAGTGGACAGCTATGGCAGGATCCTGGGCCGGATGGGTCCCCTTTAGCGCGAGGCACCTGCCCCAGGGCTCTTCCTGCATGGAGCCTCCAGGGCCAGAGCCAGTCTACCTTAGAGGGCAAAAGGCGCTCTCCTCCTGGGTGCCACTGTGGGCACAGGATCCTGGGCCGGATGTGTCCCCTTGGCGCAATGCAGCTTCCTCAGGGTCTTCCTACATGGAGCCTCCATGGACACACCCAGTCTACCTTAGAATGGCAGAGCACAAGGCAGGGAGGAAGATTCTCTCTTCCTGCTTGGGGGCGCAGGGTCCTGGGCCGGATGGCTCCCCTTTGGCATGATGCAGCTGCCTCGGGGCTCTTCCTGGTTTCTGAGGAGTCCTGAATGGAGCCTCCAGGGCCAGAGCCAGTCTACCTTAGAGGGCACAAGGCGCTCTCCTCCTGGGTGCCACTGTGGGCGCAGGATCCTGGGCCGGGTGGGTCCCCTTTGGCGCGATGCACCTGCCCCAGGGCTCTTCCTGCATGGAGCCTCCAGGGCCAGAGCCAGTCTACCTTAGTGGGCAAAAGGCGCTCTCCTTCTGGGTGCCACTGTGGGCGCAGGATCCTGGGCCGGATAGGTCCCCTTTGGTGCGATGCACCTGCCCCAGGGCTCTTCCTGCATGGAGCCTCCAGGGCCAGAGCCAGTCTACCTTAGTGGGCAAAAGGCGCTCTCCTTCTGGGTGCCATTGTGGGCGCAGGATCCCGGGCCGGATGGGTCCCCTTTGGCGCGATGCACCTGCCTCAGGGCTCTTCCTGCATGGAGCCTCTATGGACAGAGCCAGTCTACCTTAGAGGGCACAAGGCGCTCTCCTCCTGCTTGGGGCGCCTGGGTGCCGGATTGCTAGACCTCCCCTAGCCTGTCCCCGCGACCGGGGAGGCTGCTGCTCCCTTGTCCGCTCTGGCCCTGCCTGACTTGAGCCCTGGCCCCCGAGGCCGGACACTGCACCCCCTCCAGGCCCCCCCGCCCTGCCTTCTGCCCTGCACATCCCGGGGGGGGGAGGGGGCTCCTCTTTCTCCTTCTCGGCTCCCCCCAAAGGAGACCAGCTGGGCGCGCCAGGCTAGGCAAGGGTTAAGAGCAGCTGAGCCCCTTTCCTAGAGAGGACAGGAAAGGAAGGGCAGGGGCGGGTCTTCCGGAGGCGGCGCCCCTCTTGTCTCCTCCGGTGAGTCTCCCCCTCTTTCCTGGGGGTCCTGCCGTGGGGCGGGGGGGGCTGCTCCGCCGGGGCCTCCCCCCCCCGACCAGGCGAGGGTCCTGCCATTGGGGGAAGGCGGGGGGCAGATAAGCCCTGGGGGGCCGGGCGGAAAGCGGGGTACGGAAAAGGAAACGCAGCAAGTGAGGACTGGGGGGGGAGCCCAGCCCTGCCTTGGGGAGCCCGGGATGCAGGGGGGCGGGGCGGGGGCTGTGGGTCAGGGGGAGCCCGGGATGCAGGGGGGCGGGGAGGGGGCTGGGGGTCAGGGGGAGCCCGGGATGCAGGGGGGCGGGGAGGGGGCTGGGGGTCAGGGGGAGCCCGGGATGCAGGGGGCGGGGAGGGGGCTGGGGGTCAAGGGGGAGCCCGGGATGCAGGGGGGCGGGAGGGGGCTGGGGGTCAGGGGGAGCCCGGGATGCAGGGGGCGGGCGGGGGCTGGGAGTCAGGGGGAGCCCGGGATGCAGGGGGGCGGGGCGGGGGCTGTGGGTCAGGGGGAGCCCGGGATGCAGGGGGGCGGGGAGGGGGCTGGGGTCAGGGGGAGCCCGGGATGCAGGGGGGCGGGGAGGGGGCTGTGGGTCAGGGGGAGCCCGGGATGCAGGGGGGCGGGGAGGGGGCTGTGGGTCAGGGGAGCCCGGGATGCAGGGGGGCGGGGAGGGGGCTGGGGGTCAGGGGAGCCCGGGATGCAGGGGGGCGGGGCGGGGGCTGGGAGTCAGGGGGAGCCCGGGATGCAGGGGGGCGGGGAGGGGGCTGTGGGTCAGGGGGAGCCCGGGATGCAGGGGGCGGGGAGGGGGCTGGGGGTCAGGGGGAGCCCGGGATGCAGGGGGCGGGGAGGGGCTGGGGTCAGGGGAGCCCGGGATGCAGGGGGCGGGGAGGGGGCTGGGGGTCAGGGGGAGCCCGGGATGCAGGGGGGCGGGGAGGGGCTGTGGGTCAGGGGAGCCCGGGATGCAGGGGGCGTGTCTCTGCCCTTGGCCCAGGCGGGAGGGGGCTGGGGGTCAGGGGAGCCCAGGATGCAGGGGGGGGGGAGGGGGCTGTGGGTCAGGGGAGCCCGGATGCAGGGGGGCGTGTCTCTGCCCCCTTGGCCCAGGCGGGGAGGGGGCTGTGGTCAGGGGGAGCCCGGGATGCAGGGGGGCGGGGAGGGGCTGTGGGTCAGGGGGAGCCCGGGATGCAGGGGGCGGGGAGGGGGCTGTGGGTCAGGGGGAGCCCGGATGCAGGGGGCGGGGAGGGGCTGTGGGTCAGGGGGAGCCCGGGATGCAGGGGGCGGGAGGGGTTGGGGGTCAGGGGGAGCCCGGGATGCAGGGGGGCGGGGAGGGGGCTGTGGGTCAGGGGAGCCCGGGATGCAGGGGGCGGGGAGGGGCTGGGGTCAGGGGAGCCCGGGATGCAGGGGCGGGGAGGGGCTGGGTCAGGGGGAGCCCGGGATGCAGGGGGGCGGGGAGGGGGCTGGGGTCAGGGGGAGCCCGGGATGCAGGGGGCGGGGCGGGGGCTGTGGGTCAGGGGGAGCCCGGGATGCAGGGGCGTGTCTCTGCCCCCCTTGGCCCAGGCGGGAGGGGGCTGGGGGTCAGGGGGAGCCCGGGATGCAGGGGGCGGGAGGGGGCTGTGGGTCAGGGGGAGCCGGGATGCAGGGGGCGGGGAGGGGGCTGGGGTCAGGGGAGCCCGGGATGCAGGGGGGGGGAGGGGGCTGGGGTCAGGGGAGCCCGGGATGCAGGGGGGCGGGGCGGGGCTGTGGGTCAGGGGGAGCCCGGGATGCAGGGGGGCGTGTCTCTGCCCCCCTTGGCCCAGCGGGGAGGGGGCTGGGGTCAGGGGGAGCCCGGGATGCAGGGGCGGGGAGGGGGCTGTGGGTCAGGGGGAGCCCGGGATGCAGGGGGCGGGGAGGGGGCTGTGGGTCAGGGGGAGCCCGGGATGCAGGGGGGCGGGGAGGGGGGCTGGGGGTCAGGGGAGCCCGGGATGCAGGGGGGGCGGGGAGGGGCTGTGGGTCAGGGGGAGCCCGGGGATGCAGGGGGGCGGGGAGGGGGCTGTGGGTCAGGGGGAGCCCGGGATGCAGGGGGGCGGGGAGGGGCGTGGGTCAGGGGGAGCCCAGCCCTGCCTTGGGGACCCCTGGCAGCTCCGCCTGGAGGTGGGCCAGCATCCCCTGGGATCCCTCCCTGAGACGGGGGGGCAGGAGGACCCCCAAGCATCTATGGCTCTGGGATTATGCAATGGGACATCACCATTGCGGTTATTATTACTATTATTATTATTATTATTATTATTATTAACCTTCTCTTCCCCCAGAGTTCCAGGGCAGATTACAACATTTAAAACTATACTTGAAACAGACAGAAGGTGAGTCTTACTTGCTTTTTAGCAGTGTTCTTTTACCCCACCTAATCATTCATCATAGATTTATATGCCCCCCCCCCGCCTGACCACATTTTCCAGGCATTCTGGCGGCTTCCAACAAATTAAAACACAGAAAGGCTACCTGAAGACGTACTTTGGAGTGGCCCAGTTAGCCCTTGGGGGGGTTGAGCAGACAAGCACCCGACCCTCAGAAAAAAGAGAAGGACCCCTTGAGGACGTTGGGGATTCCAGGTGCTGGAAAATAAGACAGAAGCAGGAAGGAAATGGGCCCTGAAGCGGGGGTGGGAGACGAAGAAAGCCCCTCTTGCGGGTCCACAGCTTAAGACCCCAACTGTGGGGCCAGTGACCACTTCCCAGGCCATGGCCCTGACTGAAGGTTTCCTCCTGAGTCAGGCAGAGGAGAGGAAGCAGGCAGAGCAGCAGGTGAGAGAGACTTTCCCCTGGAAACTCCCAAGGGGCTCAGAATGTGAGGGATAATCTCCCAAACTGCTCTTCTAATGGCTCACCGTCTTTTGGGAAGCAAGGGATGAGATCTGCTCCCCTACAGTGCTTTCTTCGGTCATTCCTGTTCTAATCCTTCTCCCTATTCTCTGTTTTGATCCTTGTTGCTCTTTCCGGGAAAGGATCTGTTTGCAGAAATGGACCCAGATTCCTCTGAGGCACAGAGGACTCAGGTGGACACCAGAGGGAGGCCACTGGGTAAGGAGAAGCGAGTTTTTCTTCTCATTCTGTGGATCTTGAAACTATCTGTGGGTTCTGTTCATCTTTAGGGGGGGGGAAGCACTTGGGGACGAGAGCGCCAAGGAGGGGAGATGTATTTTGACCCAAAGTAAGTTTGAAATGAGTACAAATGTCTAAATGCACTTTGCAAGGAAGACTTTTTCTAAGGTCCATCTGTAGCCTGAAATGCGCGGCTGGGGACTTCCGGATTAGCGCCACTGGCAATGGCAGATTTCCTCTGATCGGGAGGAATCCGCTCTGTGAAAATCAGGGTCTGGACCGCCACGGCGAGGCGGAGACCCATCAAAAAACCACAGGCGGGAGAAGCCTGTGGACGTGGGATTTGGCAGGCAGCTTTCGCGCCTCCCCTACTCGCGGGGAAACCTGGTTTCGGGGATCCGGAGCATCTTGGGGTAAGTGGTGCGGTGCTTCGAATCGACTGCTCTTTTCACGGAGTGAAGCCACATTGCTGTTGCCGGAGAGCGCTGACTTTTTTCCTGTGGACAATTGGACTTTAAACAACTACCCGTGAGTAGAACGGAAAATTGGACTTTGAAATATCTTTAATTTGGCACCGAAGCGGGAAGGTTCCAAACAGGAAGTCTGCCTTCCGCTTTTGTAGATAGATTGAAGCAAAGACATTACAAGCTAAAGTCTGGAAAGACTTTTGTAAAGAACTAAATCTCCACCGGCTGAAACTACTAAACCCCCCTTGGAAGCAGGAGAAGAGGGGGGAAATTTTAAACTGTTCAAACCTGCAGGAGAGAGAGTAAAGAAAGATAAATTTCCACTGCCTTGAACCTGGGAATGGGTTGTTAGGAAGACAGACGTTTTGAGAAAGCCCATTGACTGTGAATAAAACATTTGTTGAAAGATAGTTAAAAAAGAGAAACATATTGATTCCAATGTTTCCTTTTGCATTTAAAAGGAACAAAATGTTTGAAAAACGATAGTAATTTTGTTGCTGGATCTGCTCTTAAAAGGACGGATACAAACAGAAATTGTTTCCCTAGAGGGAGTTTTGAAAACTGTTGTTGGAGTCGATCTGGGGGAACTCTCCAGCTGTAGAGATTAAAGAGCGTGAGAAACAGACATTGACCTTGAACAAGAATGTGCCCAGAAGAAGCCTTAGTGATTGCTTTTTGCAAGACAAGCGCTTTACTGGAACAGCTACATGAGAAGATGGATTTGATGACTGTTGCAGTTAATAATTTTGGACAAACAGTGAATACCTATATAAAAACCACTCAGGAACCGACCCAGGAATCCGCTTTGACAGGCCAAGTTGTGCAGAAGACAAAGGAGGAGGCTGCTGTTGAACCTCAAGTAATACAAGTGGAGAGAGCCGAGGCCTTGCAGGAACATAAGCTGTTGTTTTTGATGACCGAACCTGGAGAAAGTCAGATTTGGAGAGATGGAGCCTCGTTTGGATTGGAGACGGGAAATTGGATAGATCCTCCTATGCAGGGCTGTTCTGGCTTCTGGGATTTGGTGTTGTGCCAGGGGGAGTCTGGAGCTGTGGGGGCCTTCAACTATGGAGGGACTTTGAAACATGCCTTGAAATATTGTTTGGATTTTACAGCTGTCTATGGAGAATGGGCCGTCTGGCCGAGAAGGGATAAAGACATTGTTAGGTTGGAAACTCCCCGAGATCTACTCCTCAGCGACAAAGGAAGGAAACCAAGAACAAGATCAGCAGAAGACAAAGTAAGGTGCAGGTATAAATATGAAGAAGATCTGCAGAAGGGACATGGAAAAGAGTTAAGAGCCTCGGATAGAAGATCACCAGGTTGATGGACTAAATGGAATGGACAGAAAGGACTGACAGAACCCGAGACCAGGAAGAAGAGACGGTGGATGAAGATTGGAAAAAAAGTTTTTAAAAATTCAATTAGAGAAATATTGTAAAATTAATGAGTGTTAGAAAAAATGTTGGAATGAAATTATTGGCTTTAGTAGAAATGTTATAAGGAGTTATGTATAAATAAGCTTTAAGCTTTAGGGCTTTTTATAGTAAGATAAGGTTAAAATTAAAATAAATTAAGATAATTTAATGACAGAACATAGTGAAAGATGGAAAGGATTTGCTGAGATAATTAATAACTAGAATACAAAAAAGGGAGGTGTGAGGAGGTCGATTGTCAGGGAACTGACATCGGAGCTAGAGGCGGAGGGAAGGCTCTCAAATGATGCTGGAGAAGGGCCCAGCAGGGAGAGAGGCAGCTCCGCAGATGGGGAAGCAAATCAGCGCAACACCAGGGATATAGAGGGGCTGAGGGGTGAATCGGCGAGAGGGCTCCAGGACTCTTCACCGGACACCAGCGGGGAGAGCACGGGTCCTCCGCTACCCACGCCCACCCTGCGCAGAAGACTTCCGCGCAGAGAGAGTAGGAGGAGACTGGGTGTCAAACAACTTTTATGTTGGAAAAGATTTAAGAAACGCCCACTGACGGATTCTGCTTGCGACTGAGGCAGCCACGAAGTGAAGGGCTGCCCAGACTGAAATGTTTAGCAAGGCAACAAAGCCTGGAGAGGCGGCAACTTACGCACGAGCAACCCATACACATTACATTGATGAAACAAGATAACGAAAGATAAAGATTTGGGAATATGCTTTTTGTTTTTTGTTTTTTGTTTGCCTTTGTTTTTGGCTTCGATGTATTGTGTGTTTTGTTTCCTTTTTCTTTTTATTGACTTGTACTGTTTAATTTCTTTTTTCTTTCTTTTGTTTTTCTCTTTTTCTCTGTAATCTTAAATTCTTAATAAATATCATTAAAAAAAAATGCGTGCTGAACCTCTGAGAGACGCAGGAGCTGATGGCTTCCCTTTGACTTTTGTCTCTCGTCTCTCGCAGGTGACCGGAGGATGCCCCCCAGACCTCCTCATCCATCTTTTCATGAGAACGGAGGAGAAGCAGCAGCTGTGGAAACAGATCTGGTATGGGGAAAGAGCTTTGTGGGGAAAGAGTCAGAGGAGTGGGGCAGCCAGGGAGCCTCTGGGCCGGAAAGAATTTCTCCTCCTCTTGGCTTCTGTCAAAGCCTCGGTCCTGAACAAAGATGGACAATGCCATTCGAAAAGGTTTATGTTCTGAAAGGAATGAACAGCCACCTCACCTCAACTATCCTTCTGAATTTCTCTGTATTTATCAGTAGCTGCAGTTATATTTCTATATTGATCTAATCAGGCTTCTAAGCAGTTGAAAAGCTTCCAAGAAGTTGAGAAGCCATAACAAACAGTGGCCAGGATTCACCTCAGCAGCCCCATCAGCTGAAGAAGGGGAATCCCCTCCTCCCCCTCTTTGTGCCCCCATGAGCCCCTCTTTCTCCAACTGAGTTATGTTACAATCAGCTGCTGCTGCCTTCTCCCTAGCTTCCTCCGCCGTCTGCTGTGTCAAAGTGGATTCCTGTATCAATTTCTGAATGGATTCTGTATTAGTGTTCACCTTTTGTCCCAAGTTATTTATACTTTCAGTTGCAGTGTCCACTTTCTTGTTAAGTTGCTCCAGTGAAGCATTTATCTTACTTAATGCAACTGCAAGAGCCTCTTCTGTCGACATTCCTTTTGATTTTGAATGTGCTGATGCAGAAACAACAGCCGCAGAAGTGGTTGAGGGGCCTGATGTTGAAGATCTCCTGGGTTGCTGCCAAGTCTTGCCGGATCTCAATGTCCCCCCAGCTGCTGGCTGTTCTATTTTTCCTTTTTCATTTGCCATAACACTTAACGACTTCAAGGTCAGTCCCAAAGTCTCACGATTTCTTATCTTATGACTGGAAATTCCCCTAGCCCAGCTCTTTTAAAGTAACCAGTTTTAGAGACTTCCACTAGGGGGAAACAGTTTCTATTTGTAATAGTCAATTAGTATCCTCTTTCAAACACAAATCCGAAGTTAGTTTCAATTTTTCAATTACTTTTACCCCTTTTTAGTAACAGCCGGAGACAGTAGAAACAATGTATATCTCTTATTTTGCTAGCTGTCAAAGAACATTCTAAGCGCTGTCAATGAACATTCCAAAGCGTCAGTCCTGCTAGCAGCCCGTTTCCGGGGTCAGAGCGGCTGTGTTTTTACTTTCCTCACTCTCTCTTGCAGGTATACTCTGTCCTCAACTCCCCCCCCCCTTCTCCTGCTACCAGGGGGGGGGGGCTTATACTCATTTCCGATGGAAATTCAGTCTTTTGCGGAAGGCTTTCCAAGACTTTAGCTTGCAGCCTTATTGCTTTCCGTCTATTTACAAATAGGGAAGGCGGACTTCCTGTGTTGGACCTCCCCCGTTTTCGATGCCAAATTAAACTTTTAAAATCCAATTATCCCTCTTCCGCTCTACTCACGGGTAGTTCTTTAAAGTCAAATTGACCACAGGAAAAGGTCAGTGCTCTCCGGCAACAGCTGTGCGGCTTCGCTCCGTGGAAGAAGCAGACGATTCAAAGCACCGTGCCGCTCACCCCACTTCGCTCCGGATCCCCGAAACCGGGTTTCCCCGCGAGTAGGGGAGGCACAAAAGGTGCCCGTCGAATCCCACGCTCACAGGCTTCTCCCGCCTGTAATTTTTTGCGGGTCTCCGCCTTTGCCGTGGCAGCCAGACCCAATTCCCACGGGGCAAATTCCTCCCGATCAGAGGAATTCAGCCATTATCCAGAGGCACCCCCCGGAAGTTTTTCCAGGCTTTTAAGCAGTTGAGAAGCCATAGCAAACAGGGGCCGGGATTCACCTCAGCAGCCCCATCAGCTGAAGAAGGGGAATCCCCTCCTCCCCCTCTCTGTGCCCCCATGAGCCCCTTGAAGTTGGCTGTAGGGCAGAGGGAGGGTCCCATCGCCCCCCAAGCCTCGCACAGCGGGAGTAGAGAAGGGATCGTTCTGTCTGGCAGACAGGAATACTTCCACAGACAGAATGATTTGAAGAACAGCATGCGGAGTTCCACCCATTCACACAAAGATTAATACCCATCATTAGAATGCACAGTAAAATAAATCAGTTGAAATGCTAAAATAGGCATCCAGACCTAAAACGTGCAGCAAAATAATCCCATTAAAACAACACAAAAAGGAATGGGCAGAAAACAACTGAGCAATGTATAGTGGATAATCTTTGTGCTGTCTCAGAAGAGGACCTTTTCCCTTTTCCTTCAGGGTCCTCTGTGCTTTGAAGATGTCGCTGTGTATTTCACAGAGGAGGAGTGGGCGTTGCTGGATCCTGACCAGAGAGCTCTGCATAAGGAAGTCATGGAGGAGAATCGTAGGATTGTGGACTCTCTCAGTAAGGATTCCTGCTGGACTATAATATATGTTTTGAAATACACACACACACACACACACACCCCTACCTCCACCTGTGAGAATCCTGCAATATTTTACTGGCGCTTGACAGCATCTGGGATTCTCCTTCCCCGCAGCTCACCTTGAATCTACTGTTCTGTCTGCAAATATTCTTGCCCCACATATGCCTTTTTAAACCATGACCAGGCTGGTCTAGGCTGCCCAGACCTTCTTGAATGTAACTTTCTGTGTGGTGGCAGAAGAAGTAGCAGCTTCTGTGAGGTTTTCTGTTTTTGCTTCTGTCACTTTCTGGTTGACCAAAGAGACAACTGGCCTTGCAGATGGAGGAGATTCCATGATTAGGCCAAACAAGATCCTTCCCGGAAGACGCCAGGCAGTTTGAATCTCAGGTTCCCATCAATCTGTGTGTCAAGGAGAGTCAACAAAGGCAGTGAACCCTGTAGTAAGACCTCAGATCTAAGTCCCTTCCGTTCTTCATCGATCACAAACATTCATTAGCAGTCTTCCAAATTTGGAGTTCCATTTCATCCTGAGGCTCTAATCTGTTTCTCTCTTTGATGCAGGTGGTGATGGATTGGAAATTATGAACAAGGGGAACCGTGACAACATTCACACAGTGGGGAAGTTGTATAAATATTTGGAGTGTGGAGAGAGTTATAGTCTGAGCTCCCATTCTACTTCCCATAAAATATATCCTATTGGGAAAAATAATGGGAACTTGGAAGATAGTAAGACATTTCGTCAGAAGACATTTCGCACTTTCCCTAAAAGAAGTCACAGCAGGGAGAAACCCCATCAGTGTTTGGAATGTGGGAAGAGGTTCAGTCACAGGGCTGTGCTCAAGGCCCATCAAAGAAGTCATACAGGAGAGAAACCATATCAGTGCTTGGAATGTGGGAAGAGCTTCAGGCGGAAAGCTAATCTCATAGCTCATCAAAGCATTCATACAGGGGAGAAACCATATCAGTGCTTGGAGTGTGGGAAGAGCTTCAGGGAGAAAGCTAAGCTCACAGCTCATCAAAGCATTCATACAGGGGAGAAACCATATCAGTGCTTGGAGTGTGGGAAGAGCTTCAGGGAGAAAGCTAAGCTCACAGCTCATCAAAGCATTCATACAGGGGAGAAATCATATCAGTGCTTAGAATGTGGAAAGAATTTTAGTCAGAAGTATACCCTTACTTCACATGAAAGAATTCACAGAGAGAAACCATATAAATGCTTTGAATGTGGAAGGAGCTTCGTTAGGGGCTACCATCTCACTTCCCATCAAAGAATTCACACTGGGGAGAAACCACATAAGTGCTTGGAATGTGGAAAGAGCTTCACGAGCAAGAATAGTCTCACTTCCCATCAAAGTATTCATACAGGGGAGAAGCCACATAAGTGCTTGGAATGTGGAAAGAGCTTCAGTTACAGGGCTACGCTCAAGGCCCATCAAAGAATTCATACAGGGGAGGAACTATATCAGTGCTTGGAATGTGCAAAGAGCTTCAGGCAGAAAGCTAAGCTCACAGATCATCAAAGAATTCATACAGGGGAGAAACCATATCAGTGCTTGGAATGTGCAAAGAGCTTCAGGCACAAAGCTACTCTCACAGCTCATCAAATAATTCATACAGGGGAGAAACCATATCAGTGCTTGGAATGTGCAAAGAGCTTCAGGCAGAAAGCTAATCTCACAGCTCATCAAAGAATTCATACAGGGGAGAAACCATATCAGTGCTTAGAATGTGGGAAGAGCTTCAGTCAAAAGCATAGTCTCACTTCCCATCAAAGAATTCATACAGGGGAGAAACCATATCAGTGCTTGGAATGTGGAAAGAGCTTCAAATGGAAGAAAAGTCTCACTTACCATCAAGGAACTCACAGCAGGGAGAATCATGTTATTTGAAGATGGGTCTCATATGTCCTCTCAATCTCCTCTTTTCCAGTCTAAGCCTACCCAGCTCCTTCTATCGTTCCTTAAAAGGCTTGGTTTCCAAATGCCTGATTATATTGGTCACCATTCTCTGCACAGATTCCAACTTCTCAATATCCTCCTTTGATTGTGACATCCGGAATTGAGCACAGGACTCCAGGTGTGGTCTGACCAAGGCAGAAAGGAACATAGTATTACTTCCCATAACCTGGATATTAGACGTCTGTTGATATAGCCTAAAACAGCATTAGCTTATTTTGCTACTGACTCACCTTGTTGACTCATGTTAAGCTTTAGGTGTCCTAAGACCCTTAGATCCTTTTCACATGTGCTGCTGGCAAGCATGGTGTTTCCCATAGAATCATAGAATTGTCGAGGTCTAATGGTCTTAGTGGACCACAAGCTAAACATGATTCAATCGTCTGATGGCATCCAGTATGGAATGTGTGCCTCCGTTTTTTAGCATTTTTAGTTGTCTAAAAATGCTGAATGCTAGATGACACAACCTTGATGGCAGAAAGTGAGGAGGAATTAAGGAACCTTTTAATGAGGGTGAAAGAGGAGAGCGCAAAATATGGTCTGAAGCTCAACATCCAAAAAACGAACATCATGGCCACTGGGCCCATCACCTCCTGGCAAACAGAAGGGGAAGAAATAGAGGCAGTGAGAGATTTTACCTTCTTGGGCTCCATGATCACTGCAGATGGTGACAGCAGCCACGGAATTAAAAGACGCCCGCTTCTTGGGAGAAAAGCAAAGACAAGCCTTGACAGCATCTTAAAAAGCAGAGACATCACCTTGACAACAAAGGTCCGCATAGTTAAAGCTCTGGTTTTCCCAGTAGTGATGTATGGAAGTGAGAGCTGGACCATCAAGAAGGCTGATCGCCGAAGAATGGGTGCTTTTGAATTCTGGTGCTGGAGGAGACTCTTGAGAGTCCCATGGACTGCAAGAAGATCCAACCTCTCCATTCTGAAGGAAATCAGCATCTGGTTTTCGGACAAAAGTTTTCTAAAGCATTTTCTTTAACTCAGTATATATCATTCCCCAGAACGCTTTCACCACTCCACAGGACCACCACAAAAGCAATGCCAAACCTAGACAGCATCTTAAAAAGCAGAGACATCGCCTTGCCAACAAAGGTCCGTATAGTTAAAGCCATGGTTTTCCCAGTAGTGATGTATGGAAGTGAGAGCTGGACCATAAAGAAGGCTGATCACCGAAGAATGGATGCTTTTGAATTAGAAGAAGAAGAAGAAGAAGAGTTTGAATTTGATATCCCGCCTTTCACTCCCTTTAACAAACACTCCGTGAGGTGAGTGGGGCTGAGAGACTTCAGAGAAGTGTGACTGGCCCAAGGTCACCCAGCAGCTGCATGTGGAGGAGCGGAGACGCAAACCCGGTTCCCCAGATTACGAGACTACCGCTCTTAACCACTACACCACACTGGCTCTCCAACACTGGAATTATGGTGTTAGAGGAGACTCTTGAGAGTCCCATGGACTGCAAGAAGATCCAAACCTCTCCATTCTGAAGGAAATCAGCCCTGAGCGCTCACTGGAAGGACAGATCCTGAAGCTGAGGCTCCAAGACTTTGGCCACCTCATGAGAAGAGAAGACTCCCTGGAAAAGACGCTGATGTTGGGAAAGATGGAGGGCACAAGGAGAAGGGGACGACGGAGGACGAGATGGGTGAACAGTGTTCTGGAAGCTACCAGCATGATTTTGACCAAACTGCGGGAGGCAGTGGAAGACAGGAGGGCCTGGCGTGCTCTGGTCCAGGGGGTCACGAAGAGGCGGACACAACTCAACGACTAAACAACAAGCAGTCTCTGCTCTTTTTGCCTTCCCTGGGAGGAAGGTGGAGTGGATGTCTGAAACTCAGTGTCAAACTGAAACTCAATCCAGATAAGACTGAGGCAGTTAGTGGGTGGTGCCCTAGACCAGATGGGTGGGGGATGGTAAAAAATGGTTTTACATAAAGTTATACACAATAACTGTACACAATAACTGTAACCTTTCCAAAACATACAAAATATCAAGGTTCTTTCAAACCTTCAGACCTTCCCCCACATGGGTTCCAGTTCCAAAGATGTTATCTTTTCCCTTTTTCCTGCATCTTTTACCATTATCCATCTCTTATGTAACCATAGTAACCAAAGTTCAGTTCACATTACAAGTGTCATTGCATCCCTGCCCGTGATTTTAACTGTCTACAGTATCTGTCAAGTATACTGTCAAGTATACAATAAAATTATTCCAGTCTTTTAAAAATACTTGTTCTTCCTGGTTTCTGATCTTTCCGCTTAGTCTCGCCATTTCTGCGCATTCCATCAGTTTGGTCTGCCGCTCTTCCTTAGTCGGTACTTCACCTTCTTTCCATCTCTGGGCCAAAAACATTCCCGCTGCCGTCATTCCGTACGTAAACAGTCCCTTATTTCCTTTGGGAATTCATCACATATATTATATTATAAGAGAAAAGCCTCTGGTTTTCTGACAAAGGGTGAGGGGAGAGACTCCATCAGGCACGGCCTCCTTCCACCTGCCTTGCCCACCCTCTCCTTCTCAATGTGTTTTGTATTGTTTTGTCTACTGTGGCTTGCCGTTATAGTTTAGATATTATTGTAACTGTTGAGCGGATTTCTGTTTAACTTTTATATGTTATTATTGGCCTGTGCTAATGTTGCCGCATAGTGTCCAGGGTCTGCGTGCGTTCATGCAAAGGGTGCCCCCCTTTTAATGTGGGGAGTGTTCATTAATAGTAGAGGAAAAGATGGCCGCCGAACTAGCTGCAGAGTTCTGGAGGTTATCTGAGGCAAGTTCTAAATCTGCTTTTTAAACAGGCTCGACACCGAGCCAACCTTTGAAACTCCTTTTATAATATATTTTAACTCCTCCAGAGTTTTTAAGTAGTTTAATAGTCCTTTTAGCTTGTTGCTTCTAAAAAAAAGAGCTCTTTTGTTACCTTGTTACCTTGTTATCTTGATGCCCGGAGGGTTTTGCTCCCCGCGATGCCGCGCTCCTCAAGTCTGACCGACAATAAGGAAAACGGGTGACAGCTGATTTATTGCCAACTCCGTGTTACGCTCTGAACTATAAGCTATCAAATTACAAATTACAAACAGCTATCCCAAATCTTGCCTCATTTTGGACCTTAGCCCACAGCTGGGTGGAGCTTCCGACTTCCTAAGAGACATAGTTTTTGAAATAGGAAGAATAACCCTGATTGGTAACAAAGATTTACAAATGGTACTTACTAGAAAGAAACGTAGGGACCTGGGGATAGTGACAAGTCCATTGTTCCAGGAGTGTTATGAGAAACAGAGTAAAATCACGCAATACTTTTTACATACAAGGGACAACGAGAATGGAAATGGAAATGGAAATGGAAATGAGCAAAAGATGGCTGAGATGGTTGAGTTGAAGCAGGATGAGGCTCTTCTTTTTCCCTCTGCTGCTCAAGATCACTCAACCTTCTCTAGAGGAATACAGGACACGGAGAATAACAACCAAAATAGAAATACAATGAGCCTGGCCTATGAAATAGTCTTGGCTGAGATATTATCTTCAGAGTTACAGGAAGAAACCCGAAACTCCCAGAAACCCCAGACTTCATCTATGGGCTCCCAGACGGAAAACAATGACTGCTATCCTCAGGACTGGCTGCTCTCTATAAATCTGGATCTGGCAGCTATGAAAAAATACTTAACAATAACAAATGGGCTGCTCCTGACATTAGTGGAAAATTATCCCCTCCAAGCTAAAGGCTCAGAACTTCATGGTGTTGATCCACAAACCACCCCTCAAGAGCCAGAATATACAAAGCAACCAGCAACCAGTAAGTGCACACAAGGATCAGCAGCGGAAAATCATTTACACCAAGGAAAGGACATAGGGCTGTATGTATCTGTCCCTAAAACTGAATTTCCTATCGAAGTAAATCAAAAGAAGCGAGGCATTAGTAAGAGATCCCATAAGAAGAAAGCTGAAACTAAAAAGAAAAGTAAGAACATAAAAACTGCAAGGAAATCTGTTACAAACCGACGTGCATGCAAAGTATGCTGGAAAAGACTATATAAGCTGATTCCAACAAAATCAAAAACAAACTCTAACAAACCTGCTATACATGGCAGCAGAGAGAACAACAGTGTGGATCCAGGAAAAAAGATCCAGCTGAAGTCTTTGAAAGAAACATCATTGCTGCCTAACAAAACAAGTGAGGAAACGGAATCACTACCCGGGTGCTCTATGCTGAAACCCCAAGGATCCATAAATATTAAAGAAGACTCACCCCATACTATTGATTATGGCAGATTTCAAGATGAGCCAGTAGCAGGGCAAGACTTGCCCCAGGATAAAGGATGGAAACTGATGTTGGCAGATAGGAAGTTAGCTTTTCTTAACTACCCGAAGCCAAAGGGCTTCCTTACACAGGAAGAACGCTCGGTGCATTTTGTGAATATTTTAGATGATATGCTGCCAGGGAAAATAAAATTAAATGACATTACCTCAGTAGATTTCATATTCTACAATGGATATTCTCTGCGAGTGATTGCCTCCTTCAAAGATCAAAACTTGGCTAAATATATATATAGATCAAGACATCTGCTGTCAAAGAAAAGGATAACGGTAACAAGATTTTTCGAAAACAGCACATGTTTGAAATTGTTTCCTGATGAGTTTACGACAGCTGAGATAAGATTTACTTGTAAACCAAAGGAGGAGAGAGGACACTCAAAAGACAAACTGGAACATACTGAGCAAGGGTCCTTGAAACTAAGACAGGAGATGAGATTGCCTAATGAGGGGATGGATAACTTCTATCCAGAAGAAAAGGCATTAATAAATCAGTTTGGATTGTTGCCTTTCTTTGCCCAGTCTGAGATCTTGAGAAGATTGGAGACCCTTAGAAATAAGTTAACAGAGATGAATGCTCAGGAAAAAGTAAGAGAGAAAGAACCGGCAACGGACCAATTAAAGAAAGAGAACCTCTCTGAAAAAGCCAAGACAGACCCCATGAAAGATTACTCTTATAATACCTCTACAATTGCGGAGATAAACCTGTTAACAACAGATCTAACACAGTGCGCAAGGGATAAACTACCATCTAAGAAGGAAACCATCCTTATGGCAACCACGAAAGACTACCCTTATAATACCTCTGCAGCTGCAGAGATAAACCTGACAGCAACAGATCTAACACAGTGCGTAAGGGACAGCAACAATCTACCATCTAAGAAGGAAACCATCCCTATGACAACCACAACGCGCTCTTGGACCAGCATGAGATACCTGGATGAGGATGAACTTGGTATCAGTCAAATAGAACACCTCAAGGTAGATTCGCCAAAAAAAGGAGTACTGATCACTAATGTTAGCACGCTGCACCCTTCAACTGATTCCATTGAGTACCTGGGCGATAATACATCTATGGACATTGCCAAAATGAATGAAATCCAACCAACAGATAAAAAGATAGGCCCAAAAAATCTTTCAAAGGCAAATTGACTAAGATCAATTTTTGGCAAGACAACGTGCAACCTTGCCTTGCTAACTTGGAATATTGCAGGTTGACAAAA